TTTAGGCTGATCAAGCTGCTGCCAATCAGTTCCAGAAACAAAGAGAATAAATAAACTAGGTACGAAGAGCCTAGTTTAGGTTAAGGTTTATAACCTATAACCTATGTCTTGCTGACCATCTGGAACTTTGTTGCATACATATGTCTGGGGAAAGGGAGAGAARGAGCAAAACCAGTTTATAGAAAGGGAAAAATCTGGATTAACAGAATCCCTTAGAGTGGTGACACAATTGTCGGCAAGTGCTCTGCTAGCACCGTGTCCCTTCTCTAATACTTTATTTGGAGATATGCAAGTGTGACAAATTTAAGAGCAMAGTCCAGCTACACTCATTAGCTCATTCCAACTTTAGAAGGAGGAGGGAATCTTTTAAAAACCTGAAGCTGTTTCCAGATGAATAAAACAGAAAGGATAAAAGTCTGGTAGATTACATATAAAAACAGATGGAAAAAAACTTCCAAGGAACATAAACTCCGTAACTTTTTATTTTCAGAGTATCAAGAACAAGAAATCTGTCAAGACTCTCTGATAGATCTATTTATGTCAGGTTTTTAAAAGAAAAAGCAAACAAAAAAACCCCAAACAAAACAAAAGAAAAACCCACCGAAATCAAGACTAAACGTTTTAACCTGTTCCCTCCCAAGACAACAAAGCCATTTTAAAGAAGCAGAGTGATCCTTGCATGTGTGTTGTCCCTGAAGGAAACACAAAATAGGCTCAAGCTAAAAGGATTTTAGTAGGAGAACTCAGGAGTTGTCTGAAATTCAGCTATCTATAAATGTTATTATAATTGCAGAACTTCTGTGGTTAGAAGTGACTTCTGAAGRCTGTCTAGTCCATTGCTCTCCTCAGCAAGTCAACTAGAGCAGCCTGTTCAGTACCACATCCAGTTAGGTTCTGAGTATCTCCAAGGATGAAGACTCCCTAACCCTTCTGAACAACCTGCTCCAGTGTTTGACCATCTTCACAGTAAAATGTTTTTTTCTGGTTAGATCCCCCTGAGCCTTTTTTTTTTTTTTTTTTTTCTTTTTTTGTTTTTTTTTTTTTTTTTTTTTTTTTTTTTTTTTTTTTTTTTTTTCTTTCCAAGCTGAACAGTCCCAGCTCTCAACCTCTCCTCCCATGCAGAGGTTCCAATCCTGTGATCAGCTTAATAATCAATAACTCCTGGTCCAGTATATCCGTGACTTTTTTGTTCCGGCAGAGTCCCAGATGTGTCTCACCRGGGCTGAGTGAACACCGGGGAATAACCACTTGTCGCAGCGCTCTGGAAGGRCTGGCAGCAGGCTTTGGAGCGCACCCASATGCTGTTGGCCGCCTTTGCCGCAAGGGTGCATTGCTTGCTCATGTTCCACTTGGTGTCTGCCAGCAACGCCAGGTCCTTTCCCGCAAAACGGCTTCACACCGGCTGGCCCCGAGCGCGTACCGGTGTAGGGGTTGTCCACCGCCAGGTGCCAGACAGTCCGGTTCCCTGCGCTGGTCGCCCTCAGCGGATTTCTCCAGCTTGGGAATCTTTCTGCACAGCCATTCAAGGTATGGACAGTCCATCCAATCCTGGATCTGCCAACTTGCAGGGTGCTCCACCCCATCATCCCAGCCTTTAATGGAGATGTTGGCCCGCACTGGGTCCAGGATCAATCCTGGGTACACCACTAATGACTCTTCCACTGGAATTCATGTCACTGATCACAACCCTTTGAGCCCAGTAGTTCACCTGATTTTCAGTTTCCACTATTTAGTCAGTACTTCATCAGTTTCTCTATGAGAATGTAATGGGAAGCAGATCTAAAAACCTCTCTWAGGTCAAAATATAAGCAACCTCACTGCCCTCGAGCAGCCAGTAATCTCATTGCAAAAGGCTACTAAGTTGGTCAAGCTTGATTTCCTCTTCATAAATCCCTGATGTCTACTCCAAATCACCTCTTTGCCCTTCATTTTCTTGGCAATGATTTCCAGAATTATTTGTTCCACCAATTTTCCAAGGATTTAGATGAGGTTGACTGGCTTTAAGTTTTCCAAATCCTCCTTCTTGGCCATCTTGCAYACAGGAGTTAGATTTGTTTTCTTTCATACCACAGGATCCTCTCCTGACAACCATGAYTTTCCAAAGATAGCTGAGAGTTGCCTGACAATGACACTGGCAAGCTCTGTCAGCATTTGTGAATGCATCCCATCAGGTCCTATGAACTTCTGAACATCTTGTTTGTTTCAGTGTTCCCTTACCTGATCCTTCTTTATTAACACTWAATCTTCTTTGCTTCAGACTCCACACTGGTCTCTCAACTCATGCATATTTATTATTTACATTTGAATTTAATCAGGATTTCCTTGTTTATCCTTGGAGGCATCCTGTCACCCTTACCTGATTTCCTGCTCATGGGGATGGACCAATCTTGAGCTTGGAGAAGGCAATCCTTGAAAAGCAACCAGCTGTCCTTGGCCCTTTTTCTCTCCAGGATCATATCCCAGGGAAGTCTTTAAAAATAAATTTCATAATTACATAATTAACATCTGTACAAGATACATTAGTAGATTGTATATCAAAGAAAATAACAGATATATTGATATGATTTGTTTAGAAGGAGCCAATTGCTTACATTGGAAGAATTGCACTTCACAATTGTGTTGGATGGTGTTGGAATTCTTTAGGAACACTGACAGTATGTAGATAAGGCACTGATTGATATGTTCCCTTAGGGTTTCCAAAGGTATTTTAAAAATTCTTTACTGCAAACTTTTGAAAGGTACTAAGCAGCCACATTTATGACAGAAAACTCGGGGCTGGATAATTCAGTAGATATAGGTACAGGGAGTAAAACTGTGAGTTCTCTCTGCAGGAAAAAGAGACCACTGGTGTTTTAGGACATCCTCTGCTGCCAGGCTCATCCATAAATGAAGTGATAGAAGGGGAGCCAGAAGATAAACAAATTTGCTGATGGTGGAGTTATTTAATTGCAGGGGCCAACTACAAAGTGGCAGAAATAAATTTAGGGTATATTGGTGTAAAGTGAGGGGAACAGACAAAATTATCATCGCATAAAACCATGAATTCTGGGCTGTTKGGCTTGAAATATTTCTTGATTAGTATTAACTCAGAACTCATGAGCAATCAAAAAACAAAACAAACCTTAGAAGTTAAAAAATAGAGACCGTTATGACAGCAGAGTATGACATGCCCACATCTTGAGTGCTGTTGCTGAGTTCTCTCTCACACTRTCAAAAGAGAACCCCATAAAATTGACAGAAACATCTGCAAAGCTGATTATACTTCAAGAGTAGATCTCAGCCATTCAGTATCCTTCTGTCAAGTACAATAGAGAATTTGAAGGGTGCTTGATTTTTCACAGAGACTCAAGTAGCACTTGTTGATGCTAGAGTATTGTTAAGCKAAAAATCACAGGTTTCTAGCAATATAAGCAACAAGCTTCCTAGATTGGCAAAATAAATACAACACATAAGCATTTAGGAACTACTAAAAAAATTCATTTCCATTTTTTATTCTTTTGAAAACTGCAGAAACATTTTTATTAAGGTGAGGCATGTCAATGGTTTTATCTAAAATTTTATCTTACATGCCCTCAGCTAACTATATCAGAAGGTAACTGACTTATTAGAAGTTATTATGATAACTTCTATGAAAGAAATTTCTTTATTGAGTCATGAAACACACACACACACACACACACACAAAGAGTTCTGGTTCTATAGCATAATTATTTTGACAGAGAAACACGGGCAATATTTTCCAGAATTTACTTCAAGTTTTTTTATTCCAGTCAGTCAGCAATTTTTATTTCCACTTAAGGGGGAAGAGAAGACTAAGAAATAGTTAAGCTTAGATATGGTTTATAAACCATTAATTTCAATTACCAACCCAAATACCATAAAGACCTACAGAATCATCTCAAATTCACATAGTTGCTCATTTCCAGGATTTTACGGGGCTAAGAACAGATGTGTGTCAGAAATCAGGAAACTGGCTCAATTCCTTTGGGATTTTTTTTTTTCCAGAATGGAAGCAAGGGGGAGGAAGGGTAAAGAAGAAAAACAATTTGACTGAAACATCACTCTTTCTCCCATCTTAAAAAGAAGCAGAGGCTTTGAGCTTAAAGGCAATATCAGCTACAGCAGGCAGCTCCAGATAAGTGTTCAGATGTACAATTATCAGTTCTGATAAATCAGGGATCAGAGCTTTTTGTCTTCAGCATTGCCTAGAGCACTTCCTTTCCCAGACACGCTACAACCAGATTAGGAAAGATAGCAGATAAGACATAAGCAGTGCAGAGGATAGTTCAATAGTGTCTGCTTTGAGCACCACCAGAGGAACATCACTAATGCTGCAAGAAAACTTCCTTTTCAGTACTTCCATATCTTGTCCAATRCTGACCCGTGTGTTATAAAGCATACAGAATCCTCCCCTTACTGTTCTTTTTTAACTCTATATTCTGCATAAAATGTACTTATAATACTTCAACATGTATTGTTCCAACTAGCAAGTTGCTACTAACRCACCTGGTAGCAGGGAAGTCTTATAAAAAGGACAGGTTGTTAATGTATCTTCTTACTCGTAGTACCCTTAGACTGACAAAAAAGTTCTTTATTTCATGGAGTATGTGGGTAGTTCACATATTTTATATCAGAAGCAGCACACTTACTGAAATTAAGTACATCTGAGAACAAGTTAAATAGAACACTGACACTCTGTATTTATTTTTCTGCATTGATTTGTGATACACATTCATTCCTTGGTAAATGAAGAGGAAAAGCTCAAAGGCACTACCCTGGATTGTGTAAAGAACTACTCATATCTGACATTTTGAAAATACCAAAAGGTATTATGTATAAAGAACCTTCCAAAAACAGACTCTTTTTTTTGTACTTTCCTTACTCACAACCAACAATTTTTCTGCACATCACATTTCCTAGTGAGCAAGGCAGCACACAACACATCATCCAGAAAAARTCATATCTGCCAATATCTTGATCCTTGCCTCTATCCCCTCCCAGGGTAAAACCCCRCAGTTTCATTACATCTCTTTATTTTTAATCTTCTTATATCAAAACACTTTGAGTTGAAGTTTTTTTAAAGTATAAAAAACAGCATCAAAGCCTTTAAATCACACAGGGGCTAAATTAATTACGTTCAGAGGGAGGGGGGGAGGGAGAGAAAAGTTGACAAAAGAAACATAAAGAGTCCTGAGTTTTCCTAGAGGCTCTGCTTGAGGGCTCTGAGGCTGGGAAGCAGCTGGTCTGCACTCAGGCGCTCCTCTGCATTGGCCTTCCAGCAGCAGCTGATGATGCTGTGCAGCGTCTGTCCCACCGGCGACTCGTGGAACACCTCGGCAGCCAGCGAGGGGCGCAGGTTGTAGGCGACCACAGCATAGAGCACGTACTGCCGCTCGCCCAGATAGGGCTGCTCCCGCATCACGATCTGCCACAGCGTGATGGCAAACGAGTAGATGTCTGCTTTGGCAGTCACCTTCTCCCCCTTGAGGAGCTCAGGGGCRCGGTGTGTGTACGTGCCCCCTTGCTGGCAAACGTGGAGGCTCTGGGACAAGCCCTTCTCCAGCTTTTGGGAGCAGCCAAAGTCTCCGATCTTGCACGCTCCCTGCTCAGTGATGAAAACATTTGCAGGCTTCAGGTCCAAGTGCACAATGTCCTGTGAGTGCAGAAAGGCTAAGCCCGTCATGATGTCACAAGAATAGCACACGGTCTCTTCCATGCTCAGCGCCTTCCTTCCACCTCCTTCTTCATCATCCTCCCCGTGTCTCCACACACCCCCAGTGCCATAAATGACGTGGTGCAGGGTGATGTTCCCCACGTACTCCATGATGATGGTGCCCAGGCTGTTGTCGCTGGCGGGGGCACACGTGCTGGCAGCCACCACACGCACCACATTCTCGTGCTGGAGCTGGGCCACGTTCAGCTCAGCCCAGAAGCTCTGCCGCGATGCCAGCCGGTTCTTGCTGCTCTTGTTCACCTGCTTCACAGCCACGGTTGTGCCATGGTAGGTGGCTTTGTAGACAGAGCCAAAGCCCCCGGATCCTAAGGGCTGCAGGAGGCAGAGCTGCTCCCAGTCAATGGAGCACCAGGACAGGCGTGGAGGCAAGCGACGAGTCCGGGCTGAAGGAGCTCCCCCCAAAAAGCTTTTGCTGTCTTTGCCAGGGATAACTAAAGGGCTGCTGCAGGGGCGCAAATTCGCAGAGGGGGAATACTCAAAAGAAAGGAAACAATTGAGAGGAATAGGTGAGGGCATAATAYGAAGGAGAAAACAACAGGCAGAGTYGTTACTGAGACAGAAGACTGAAAAAACTTCCCTGACAGAAAGGACTGTAAGCTGCCTTCCAAAGCCTTTTATCCTCCCTTCACCATTTTCCCTCCCTCCCCCAAATGAACTGCATCTGTCACAATTGTCTGAATCAAATCAGGCTCACCTGGAAACATTCTTCTCCAGCCCTGAAGCAAATCTCTAGAAAGTCAAGACAAATGGATTTAAGGCTAAAAATTTACTAATTCCTAAGTATTTCACATAATTTATAATCTCCTAACAACAAATAAAGTATGTTCTGCCCATTGAATGCCTCTAGCAAAATGCCACTAGCGAAATGCCCCAGGAGTAAATAAAGCAGTGGCTGATGAATATATTTCACCATGGCTCCAGGCAGGCATGATCAGCATCGGGTGCATTAAACAGCTCAAAGTTTTGGTCAGTGGAAGCAGCTGAAGTGCTGAGCACTAACGTGATGATGCTAGGACAGGCATAACTAAATATAAAAGCATGTTTGTAGGAACCTATTACTAAAACATGACTGGGACAAGGGRACTGGTTTGTCTGCTCAGCTTTGCCCATGCAGAACAGCAAAGGACAAACAACATTTGCCTTTAATAACGGCATAAGGACAAATTATTTTTCTGTGTCATCCTTTGGATACAGTAACTAGAATTATCCATAAGTATCTCATCGTCTACTCATCACACCTCATGCAGTTACTACAGGTGTGTGTTTYATTTCTGGATCCTTCTTAGAAAACTTGTTGCTGAATTTACAGAGGTGTTCTAGCAGAAATCAAACAAAGGTAATTTTGTGTTGGTGGTCCCAGTGATTTTTCAAAGGGCTTTTTTGAATTTTGACCCTTTCACATATTTGTAGTGCTCGTGTCATTGTGTTTGGTACCTGCTGTACTGCTCAGGTAGCAGAGCACCCTTATGGGACTTACACACTAAGGAATTTTGAGTATTCCAGTAACTTTCTGTACATCTTGACAAATACCTTGGAAAGCTTGGACCCCATTTCCCACCCCCTCACTCTTCAGACCTTGCTCTGGATTCTTGAGTTTTCAGTACAGTTCTGCCATATGATTTCAGAATGGTGGGGCCTCTTTCTCCAGAGTTTACCTCCGGGCAGCACCAGCTCCGCAGGCAGTTCCTGCAGTTTTCCTGGCGTTTTCTGTTTGGATTTTTGTCTGTTTGTGGTTTTGGTGAGGGTTTGTTTGTTTGTTTTGGTTTTTTTTGTGTTTATTTTTTTTTTTTTATTCTCTGGATGAGTAAAAAGCAGAACAGGCCACTGAAGGGGATTTCAAGAATGCCAGACCATGTGCAAGCAGTACTGGAGTGTTCTTCACCTTGAGATGGGTTCARTTGTTCACTTTAACAAACAAACAAACCTGATATCCCAAACCTGATATCTCCTGATCCTCCTTGAACTCTAGATCRGCCCTCCTAGAGGGTCTCAAAGACCTCACCCCATAGTGAATCAGTGATGGAGACCTTCCCTAGCACTGAGACTTAGATCTATCAGGAGAAATTTGTCACAGCAATTCACAGGGAAGCAAGTTTGAACCACAGATGAATGAGAATGGGGAATTCGGGTTACCAGCTGGCAGTGTGAAACAGGCTGGGGAAGAATTAGATAAATAGGTGCTAATTGGAGTTGTTAGCATGTGAGAGCTCAAAGACTGAGGGATGTTGCCATGGCCGTGGGTGGGACAGTCCCTGCAGATGGGATCCCCTGCTAACACAAGGCTCCGCTGTGCTGGCCCCTCCCCGAAGGGCTCTAACAAGAGGCCGCTGGACCCCTCAGGTGCTATCACGCTCTGYGAGCTTTTTGTTGTACAGCACGAGCCAGACAAGTGATATCCTAATGCTACCCCTGCTTTCAGGCATCTCTCTGGCTCCTCCTCAGTCACAAAGGGATGTTTTAGGGGTGGCGGAGAACAARAGGATTTTTAGTGTAAAGTTTTAAACGTGTAACGATATAAGCTATGGAGACAACAGGTGTTTAGTTTCCTTTCTGGAGCAGCATTACGATTTTACGCTTGTATGTAGAAGTCCTCACTTCCAATCTTTGCAGAGAATGTCTTTTMGGCAAGTGAATTGTGATAGAAATGAAATGCTGCAGAAAGCAGATGAAGCTACAGGGGAGAGAGAAAAGATTTTTGTGCCTTTTTTTCTGAGTGCTATTTGGACTCCAGTTCTTCAGCGGGCTTCTGTAACATATAGCATATGAAATCACCACAAAGAGATTTCTGCTCTGATTTCTTCAGGCCTTAGGGTTAGGGTGGCAGAGAAGTTCAGAGGGAAAGTYGGGTGTGGAGAAGTGTAAGTAGAAGGATGTGTGGATGAAGAGACTGACCTCTTAAGTTAAAAGCTATAGCAGCACATCTGATGACTGAATGCTATAAAGCAGCAATGAAATCAATGTTCATAAAACAGAGGGTTAGGATTAAGGCTGTTTCCAAATTTCTTTGATTGAAATTTCATTCAGAAGGATGTATCAGACCTTCCATATTATTATTTTCAAACTCCACGTCCACTTTTATCAGTTGTCCTTTAGTTCCCTTTTCTGGTAATTTTCTTGTTACCTGTTTCTGTTAGAAACCTTTCTTCCTTGCCCTGCCATGGCACACATGTATTGTTCTTGGGGAATACACTGAATTTTTAAAGAGGAAGAGGRGCAKTCATTTACATTCCATGTAACTTATYRTCCTGTCTCAAGCTGRCTGCTGAGGACCAAAGCAAGAAAATATCCAGAGTCTTTCAGTGTGAATAGGATTAAATGGGATTTAAATACAAACAGTCTTTTATTATTAATAAACATTATATTCCTGTAATCCATTGGTGATTTGGCCCAGCGACTTCCCAGAAGCCACAATSGCTGTAGGACATCCTTGCTGCAGTTTGCAGCCCTGTTAGTTCCAGCATCACTGCAGGCTGCGATAGGTGTCTGGGTGAAGCTGGGGAGCCACCTGCAGAGGGGAGCAGGGCTGTGGGGACAGCTGGCCCTTCCCTCCCAGCCACCCTTCCTTCCCCAGGGCAACCCTCAGCAGCCTCCAGCACCGTTCCCATTGCACTGCTTTTTCCACAGGGGAAAGGGCAGCTGTAGCAGCCAGAAGTTAGCAGCACAGAATGCAGTAGGAACTTTTAGAAGTGACAGGAGGAAAGCACACAGTCTGTGTCCCATGGGCTGCAATGTCACTGCTACAATCAACTGCAGCAGCAATGGGTTTGTTCCAAGCTGGTRTGTTGTATTTCTGCAAGTAAAACATACCTGTGCACCCAGTGCTGCCCAGCCTAATCTGGCTTCTGGATAGGAAGGAATACAGAATCTCGGTGGGTACCCCATTCCTATTTCACTGGTATTTGAGGAATATAGAAATTCTTTGTTTGCCATTGTTGTTAGTTACTGCTGCTATTTGTGTGGTCACTGGACAGGAGAAGGCAGCCCCAACACCAAGGGCCCTAAAGGGCTGGCRTGGATGTAACCCAGCACAACACAGGACAAACCAAACACCAGTCTTGGTTTGACCAAGGTGCATCACTCTTGTGGTTAACAGCCAGTTTTGTCTAAAACAGGCAAAGGACAGGGCTGGGGATTGGACATGACTTGAGAGAGTTTAGGAGTGCATAGTTATATATATACTTCTCCACAATCATTGCTTTATTTCTTTGTACATTTGGTTGCTGTACYATGTAACAAGCCCTTGAAGGCTTGGCCTGTCCAGAGGCTTCTAAGAACTGCCTCACAATACAGAGGTAGCATTGTGTTTCTATTAGGTTACTTTGTAATCTTCTCTAAAGGAGCCAAATGAAGCTCTTCAGTACTTAAATTACAGTCCTGCTCAAAGCTAGACAGTTCCTTAGCCTGTGGCTTAGTGACTTCTGAAAGATTTTCTTCTCTGTTTCAAATCAAAAGTTTTCTTTTTTCTCCTTTTACTGTCAGTCCCTCTGATCTCACTTTAGGATGGGATGATGAAGGTACATCCTCCTTATGCGCAGCGTTTCACAGTCCAAGTGTTGCTTCCAGTCACACCTCATAGACCTCAAACGATATTCAGAGTCGCCTGAAAGGAATTCTGATATGATCAATTGCACAGGTGTAAGTGATAGCATTGTCTGGAGCCAGTCCCTACAGAGGCTTGCTCTGAAGATAGGCCACTGATTAACCACTTTTTTTTTTTTTTTTTTTTTTTTTTTTTTTTTTTTTT